CACCTTGTATTATGAATGAGGTAATTAAAAGGAGTCTACTTATTTTTTGTTCTGCTATAGCAGAACCAAAACATTTTTGCCCCCTTAAATGTGTTTGTGTGTATGTAAGTGTGTGTGTGTGTGTGTGTTGTGTGCATTGATCATTTTAACCAAAGTGTGAAAATGAAGTTGTAATGCTAAAGGCCAAAGGAATGAATTAACCTGACCTATTAATTAAAAGACCGTGCTTGAAGTATTAACCAGGAACCACTGTTAGACTTTTCATTCTCAACCCCAAATGGGAAGGCAAGCACAGTAATCCCACATCACCTCTGGAAATGATGTCAGGAAATGTTTTCTCAGAGTCAGCTACTGGTCAAGACTTACATCAAGTTAAACAAAATAATGAAGGATCAGGGATTCTAAAAGGGCCAAAAGTTCGAACAGGAGACCTTTAGCCCCTTTGCCTGCAATACATAATAATACTTCCTGTTTGTTTGATATGTCCTTACCATACTCTGAAAGAACAAACACTTATAACTTCCATATTAGGGACGAAGTCTTCTGTCCCCACCCTTCCTGTTTAGGATTATTTTCCACAGAAGTGAATCAGTGCAGTCTGAACTACAGAATGAATATGACAACAAGAACAAAAACCCCAAATAGGCCAATCTACCTAAAGCCATGTCTTATTAAACTTCTAGAATATTTGGGAGTGTCCATACTACAGAATAATTACATATAACTATATATGAATTTAACTAAGGTTGGCTTGAAGTTTAAAATGTCTTTCATAAAAACTCCACTTTCCTTATGTGAGTCTAGATAGATCATACAGTTTAAGATTCACCAACAAAAGCTTGTAGCAATAACAATAGTGGGAGGCTCGACTTCTAAAAACAGCTCTTTCCTGTTAGCTATTTCTGCCCACAAATACAGTTGATGCAGGTAAGTAGCATGTAAGTATTTTTATCATTACTAAAAGAGTTTGGACATATATAAAATATAAAGGAATTTTAAAATTAATTGATTGTTGTTTAAGCCTCCAGCTTTAGTGGCTTGTTATTATTTTTCAGTCAGCACTTATGCTTTACTTCCTAATGCCCCAAGAAAATAGAGTAAGAAACTTGAACACAAACCTTTCCACCAGGTAACTCTAGAGTTTATAAGCAGCAATGAATGACATTTCCTCAGGAAAATCTTAAAAATTATCTCTGTTGCTCTTTTTATTAGTCCATGTTTAACCTGAAGCTAGAAACTACGTCCCATTTATTTCCGTCTCCAGAATTTGTATTACCAACTGTGCTATGTTGAAGTTTATATGACAGGCCATTTCAACACTTTTGTTTAGTTAAAGAGGAGTGCATCACTTTTAAAGAAAAGCACGATTGCCAAAAAATATAAACAGCCCTAACTTTGATTAATATAAATATTTTAAAACCAGAACGTTCTGTTACATCTTACAAAAACAATTCGAATATAGCTGATGGGAAAGAAAAAGTGCTTTCATACATTAGACAGATCCAACAAAATACAGCTGCAGACCAAATTTTAAGTAAATATGAATTGTTTGTCTTTTCAAAGGGCTATGGTATTTACTTAAATGGAGTTATTTTAGAGTACTTTATGTTTCATTAGTAAAAACGAAAGTTTTCAAGATAGTTTTATTTTTGAAGTATCCCATTTAAGTTCCAAGTCCTCTAATTTAAAAATGCCATTAAAATTAGTCCCCCTGCCCAGTGTGGGTTATTTGCTAATAAGCCACTGGACAAGAGATGTGTGAAGTGAATAGATGAAGAAAAACGTTGACAGCAAAAGGGAGGTCTAGGGGGTGAAGTTAGTTTATTAGGCCCTGTTTGTCACGAATGGCCCTGCTGCACATATAAAAGCAAATCCCTCTACCTTAGAAGATTAATTCTGAAGGAGGCACTCTTAGGTCAAAGTATACATAAGCGTGTGCCTAATCTCAGAGAAATCAGGCTATTTTCTCACAGCAATTAAGCAGAGGTCTGGGGTTTCACCCACAGTGTATTTAAACACAGGATACAATTAAACCCCAACGTATTAATATCTTTGCTCTGCAAAATTACCCAGGAAATAGATTTTGCCCTCTTTCAAATGAAAAGCAAGTCAAGTTAAGAGAATAACTTGATTCTTAGCTAAGTTGCTTGAAATAAGAGTATCGTAATTTCTTCTAATTGCAAATGTCTTATAGACAGAGGTAGTTCTTACTTTACAATAGGGTAAGAGTTATAAGCTTTCTAGTTTCTTTAATCTAAATAGCAAACCTTAGAAGTGTGCTTGAAAACATATTGTTTTTAAACTGTAATTAAAATTCTGACGCAACATATGTGAAAAATCAATTCATTATAAAAATCTGAGAACTCACTATTTACCTTCAGCAAAATACCTTCAATGAGGAGAAGCTTTGCAACCAATGCGAAGAGTAAAAACAGTATACATAAATCTTAAGCAGTCGAGTGCTCGGAAGGGATTGCTTTCTACAGAGGTTTTTCTGGAAGTTATTTTATTCATATACTCATCTCAAAGAGCGAATCTTCTAGGGAAAATTGTAGCCAGTTTAAAATACCGCTTCACAAAGAAAAAATAAAAACAACAAACAACTTTTATTTGTTGTACATCAGTTCCCTAAAGGCAAATTTTTTTTAATAGTATAAAAGTTATATTAAATAAACTACCACCTTTATTCAGATCTTGAAAAAAATAACCTTTCAGGTACTAAAAGATTTTTAGTACAAATATTGTTACTTCTACATATCAAGTTAGTATTCCAATTTATTGCCAAACCAAATTCTCTTAGGCTTTTTTAGAGAATAGTAGGGGAAGGAAGTTGGTCTTGGAATAGGAAAGGATACAAATTTATAGTTTATCCTTTACATGGCTGAATCGATAGTTTTTTCTTTTATATAGGAGTTTCTAGCAAGATAGTTGTTGGTGTACGGTACAGCAGAATACCCAGTGAGAAATCCTTTAACCCATGACACATGAGAATGTTCTTATACATTAATAAAACTGAAAGAATGAAGCAATATAGGATGAATCAGATGTGGGAGAGAGTGGGTTGTGTGTTGTGTGTTGGGGAGGCTGTGTGGTTGCCAAGGTATTTTCCCATCTAACACTCCATTGTTGCTTTTAAGAGGAGCTGAGTACTTAAGGTAAAGTGCACAGGGCAATGTGTCTTTGAAAGCACACTATAAATAGTTTAGGCACTTTTTGGATGTGTGGTGGGATATGTGAGGAGGCATGCAATCTGAATTTTACGAAGGATTGTTTTAATAGGACCAATGACTTTAATAGTACTTCTTGCTGACATCACTGGCAAATTGGTCTATTCTGTAACCTTTACAATTGCAGCATATCCCAAAATGAGTTACTTATTAAACAAATGTTCTTTTTTTTTTTAGGGCAACTGACCTTTAAATGATTATTTCTCAGCACTTGCAACAAAGAATTTCACCTCTCCCCTTTATACTTCTGATGCTACAGTGAGTGAATCCATAACCTTTTCACAACATGTAAGGAATGTGCCACACGATATGGAATTGCAATCACTAATGAACACTTTTTCTTTTAAGGGGGAGTCTTATTACTTATTACTAAATTACTGCAATACACAGAAGCCATGCAAAAGTATAAAAATAGTTATTTTGATCAATCTGCAACCATTTTAGAAAATATTAACTCCAAAAACACCAAAGAATAATTTACTGCTAATGACAAGTTTCTACTGACATTTTCTACCGTTAACTTATTTTCAATAAAAAAATTTTTTTTTTTTTTGAGACAGAGTCTCACTCTGTCTCCCAGCCTGGAGTGTAGTGGCATGGTGTTGGCTCACTGCAACCTCTGCCTCCCAGGTTCAAAGGATTCTCCTGTCTCAGCCTCCCCACTAGCTGGGATTACAGGTGTGAGCCACCACACCTGGCTAATTTTGTATTTTTAGTAGAGACAGGGTTTCTCCATGTTGGCCAGACTGATTTCAAACCCCTGACCTCAGGTGATCTGCCTGCCTCGGCCTCCCAAAGTGCTAGGATTATAAGTGTGAGTCACCACGCCTGTCCTGTTTCCCCTTAACTTCTGAGGCAGAAGGGTGGGGGTGTGTGTGTGTGTGTGTGTGTGTGTGTGTGTGGTAGTGGGGGGTTAAATACTGTATTTGATTGGAAAAGCTTTGTCTTGAAAGTTCAGGCACTTATGCAATATTTGTAGGCAATTTGATTTAAACCTACGTGCAACTATAGCACAGTACCCCTTTCCACTAACTAGAAAGAAATGCTTTGAAACTCCAGAAGTATTCATGAAATATATATCATGTAATGTTAGAGATTTTAAGATTGTGCTTTCCTCAGAAATACACACATTTGTAAAGATGAAATGAGTATAATCAAGTCGTGGTTATCCTTAATTAAGTGGAGATGGTAATTATAAATTTTATTCTTTAGGAATCAAATCAAATCTAACACATATTTAGAAAAGCTAATGCTTTCTGGGATCTTTTAACATTGGTAAAGATATCCACACTACTTTAAGTCCCAATGGCCTTTTCTTGAGTAGATAGCCTAGTTTACAGTTTAGTGGAGCTGCTGAATCTGATAAAGATTTCATTAGCTTAAATATTTTCCCGCTTAAAGAAACTGATATTCCAATCTTGAAAAATTCCAAGGAAAAGTTTTTGATTTAAAGGATTAAAACACTATAACAAGCTAGCAGTTTTTACTTTACATACATTTTAATGTAACATTAATGTACAAATACCTGCTTATGTTCAAGAATAAACTTTTTTTTCTTGCAAAGCTGACCTTATTTGTAAAATGCTGTTTTAGAAAGGTGTTGGAGTGACTCATAAAATATTTAAATGTCAACCCTCTACAGAGGGTTTCACTTGTGTGTTCTTTTTCCCACATCTTTTACAAAAGGAGCATATTGGAATGAATTACAGAGAAATCTGAGAAAATTTTTCTTAAATAATGAAAAATAGTTGTTTGGAAGGAATGTTCACTCACAGTTTTCTTTTCGACTCTGATTTGGTAATGTTTTGTAAAGCATAAGAACAGCCACAAGCCTTCATCAGAGAAATCAAAATTAATGTCCTTTGGAAACATTGGGCTCTGAAAGAAAAGGAAAATAACAACAGAGATATGACATACTTGGCTCCCTTAGTTTAATTCCGAAAAAGGCAAATCAATTATTATATTGGCATGTAATCACAAAGAAAAATGCACAGACTTAAGAGCAAAACGACTCATTGTCGAGACTTCCAGGGTCTTATTCATTCATTGTGGTGGCTGCTGACAAACAACAGAAGGAAATCAACAATGCTGGATAACATAATCATCAAGGGCTTCTATGTCTGTAAGCCATTTAAATTCCTGACATTGAATATTTATAGTGAGTGATACTCCTTTAACATAGACCATATTTCAGTCAGCTCTCAGCACTCCTGACCTTCTTTCATACCCACATTCCCTTGGCTTCATCAAGGCCCCCTCTAGCCTCACGCCTGTTCAAAAGCTGGGCACCCAGTATCACTGGCAGTTTCTCAGCTGCCCACGTATTTTTCAATATCCCTGTTTTCTCTTCACACCAGTTTATCGTTAGCATACTATCTGCCCTTTCACAGGCAGCCCCCAAGACACAGTTGTATTTATTTTGTACTTATCAATACAATGTAAATCAGCATGGGCTTACCTCCTTGGGGTTAGTGAACCTACCTTGTCTGTGAGCACAGACAGCACTTTGGTCACAGATGTGACTGGTTAACTGTACAAGCAAGGAGGATAAATCCACATCACAATACTTCATTCACCAAGGAAATCTGCAGTGGATTACGGCTTCTCTATGGTTAAGTCTGGTCTTAATTTACTGCTTTTATTCAGTTTTCAACCACAAACGAGCCCCTTATGAGGCATTCACTATGTAGAATTGACAACTCTTTTTATCTACTTGAAAAATATTTTTGGATAATAATTTATGGTTACAAAATATTTTAAGCAGTTTGAATAGTTATATTATATTCTTTCTGTGCTTAACGATGCAGTATCCCCTGTAAAAATGGAATGCCAGGCAATCTGGTAATTTTACGTACAGTATTTATAAAAACAGAGCAATTTGGCCATCTAGAAACACAAATTAAAAAAAAAAAGCTGTGCATATTTCATAGGAAGTCTTTTAAAGACTTTTTTTAAAGCTCTTAAATTGCATCTCAGGAGAAAATCAGAGTTCAGAACAGTATCTAAAGGCCCTATATATGGGAAAAAAATAATTTTGGCAAGCACTGTATTTTATTTATGGGTTATTATGCTTAAAATACCATATTTTGAATACCCTTCAGAAGGAAAAAAAGCTGCAGATCTCTCTGAAGACACAAGGGAGAATTCATATGCTGTTTATATTTTATACATGAAACCAAAATGTGCGGGTAGGTTTGCACTTTTTCACCATCAAATATATTCTCTTAATTTATATTCTGGATTAATGCTGTCTTTAAAAAATCCATTTGAAGATCTCATTATTATTGGGCATGGAGTAGTTTTCAAGGTCTGATTGCCAGTAACTGGAACTACTGTAGAAATCCCCGATAGGCTGAAAACACATAATAAACCTGTAATAAGTAGCAAGTGCCAGGATCAGTTTGTCATTTTAGATGCACGTCGCCTCGTATCTTGTAACTGGAAATGGAACCCACGTAAATAAGATGGAATGTATTATATAAATGGAGACAATGTAAGCAGCGTGGTTGATGTTCTTTGAGATGACAGAGTTCCTTTTGCATTGCTTCAGATTGAACCATGGGTACACAAAACTTTAGAACTTTCCCCTTGGCAGAATTTGAGCACTTTCAGACTCATTGATGGTAAGAGATTCTTCCCGTTGCAGAATGAACTCCCCATAGGTAAACAAAGGAAACATTCAACTGAGGTACTAGCTGTGTTTTCCTCATTAGCGGCTACACTGTTCTGAGCAGGGAATGAGTGTTTGGGGAAAAGCATCCTTGGCATTAACAAGAAGGAAAGGACATTGCTTTTTACAAGGAGGAACACTTTATATGATTTTCTAAAACATCTCTCTTCAAGTGCCATATGTAAATCGTATCTTTTTTTAAAAAAACAAATTATGCTTGTGCTTCAGGGGGGAACTACATAAACGTGCAATAGAAAAATAATGAACTGTATCACTTTGGTTAGTTAACCAATTATTGCCTCTTTATAGACTCAGATGCTGTTTGAGTTGCATCATAAAAACAGGTGGGGTTTGTTGTTTGTTGTTTTCACTGGTTTGAAATTTTGCTCAAAAACATTTTTTAAAATGCTGTCGTTCTTATTATTTTAGAACTTGGAGCATTCTGCCTTTTAATCTGTTAGCTAGGTTTCATTACCTTAATAGATGTTCTAATGAAGGTGTAAAAGAAAAGGTTAGAAAGGAGATAGATTAGGCAGTGGAAGCATCAGATTCAAATGCCACTTAATGTAATTCCTAAATCATTTATGTTAAAACTGTTTCATTAACAATATTACAGCCACCCTCTGTTCAAACACATTAAAATACAGATAAGAACAACTTTACTAGTGGATTATAGAAGCTAGGAATTAGGACGACAGTGATGAGCTAGACTTCTCTGTCCTGGCAAAAATAGTTTCCAATTACTAGCCATGGACCAGTGAACAACAGATTCCCTAGGAATATTTGGTACGTTCTCTCTGATCTTCCTATACCTGTGTACCTGGATACCAGTCTCATTTTTCCTTCCTCTTCCTGACAAGCATTACATGTGAGGTAAGAGTGGGAGGGTCATTTAACAATGAATTTCCCCATCGTATAACCATTACAAAGCTATCAGAGCTAACTAACTTATTGTTTTCTAAGTCACTGTACAATTTCAAGGTTTTAATGGTGCTTAAAATATAATACCCTGTGTCATTTATTTCTTGAAGTGAAAGCTAGTGCCAGCCTTTGAAATTCATGTAAAACAAGTGGTTCAATATGGTTTGAAGAGAGAATGAAAACTCGATAAGCTATTAATCTACTTTAAATGCTTTCCTAATGGTTTGCACCTTTTCTTACTGATTTTTTAAAAATTCAGACTTATTCAGAAGAAAATCAAATTAAACATACATCCAAATTTTTATATAGCACATTTGTTAGAGTGAAACCCATATACACAGTGAGGCAGGGAAGATTGACTAATTAAATAATTTGAAAATAAAGGTGTGCCTGGTTAAACAGTATCAACTTGAATTTTTTGCCTAGTGCTCTGAAACTATGGGAAATATTTGAAATGGGAAACTGGGTACATGAGCATAGAGAAGGGGCTAATTTCCCAACAATAATCCTGTGAGTGACACTTGGTTTGGGAAAGGAAATTGTCCTGTCTGACTGCTGATTTGCAGAGGCGGAGGTTTAAGAGTTAGGACAAGCCAGAGGCATCACTGTGACTCCAAGGCACAGCTATAAAACAGAGCTGAGTCTGGTTGGTATGTCTGCCTGTCAGTGTATCACCAAGGAGCCTAGTGAGACATTAGAGGAAACTCACCAGCGATGTCATATTGTCTGAGAGACAATGCACACACAGAGAAGACTTTTATGGGGAAATCATGTGAAGCATACAGAATTAAGATGTAAGGTAGAAGGACTCAAGGAGTCCAAGAGTAGAGGGGGATGAAATCAAGGACTGAATCTCAACGGTGAGCGCGGCCAAGAGAACTAGAGCCCAGCCCAAATTCATGCAGGATATCAAGAGTCAAGTGCTACTGATGAAAAGATCATGACTTTTCCAACTCAGCAGAGAGAGTGCCTCTCCCCCAGTCAGCAGTGTGGTGCAGGGCACAAATGACAAGTCCAAAGAGAGGAAAATCAATGAAAGGTTGAAGAGTTACCAAAGTAGAATTAACAGGGACAGTAATAGAGTCAGAAAGCTTGCTCTTGAGTAAACGTGGAAGGATTCTCAGGAGCATCTGCAAGCAAGGCTACTTCAAGAGATACTGCTTGTAGAAAAATGATAACCATGCCTGAAAGGACAAACATGGGATCCAACAACATGATGTCTACGTCCAAGACTACGACTGAGACTGAGGTCATGTCTTTCTATTTCTTAGTGAGAAAGTACTGGAAGTTAAAGAAAAGCTTATAAACTTTATTTAAAAAAAGCATAAAACTTATGCAATAAGTATGATAATTGCATATATACATACATATATGTGCGCAAATGCCTAAATTAATTGCTTGGTAAGCGTATTGCTTTACCGAAATGTTTTAGTTAAGAACACTGGTTGCCAGTGTTGCAAGCTGCAGAACACTTACTCTGGTGCCATGCAGAGACACCTGAAATGGGGATGCGCCGAACTAAACATTCCACCACATTTTTGGCACCTAGCGAAGACTGGCCTTGATTGAATCTGCTGCACACCCGGTAACCCAGATAAATGCTACACGCCTGTCTTCTGAATGGGGGTAGCCTCTGATTTGAGGATTGCCAAGTAACCCAATTTTAGAATAGCACAAGTTTTAATTATATGTTTCATTTAACTGGCACCTGTCCTTGGAGGCTGTCATTAAAATCTAAAAAGCTATGATGTGGGAACTATTATTATTTATGATTTACAGGGAAGCAAAAATAAATAAAGAGAGAAAGAAAAAAGAAAGCAGAAAAGCTGAGAGGTTTCGAGGAGTGGTAGAAGTGGAAGACTAAAAATTCCACTGGTGAAAAAGAGCAACATTTTAATTACCTAGAAAACCGATAGAAAACAAAAATCCAGATCATCGAATTTTTGGTGTTTGAGGTATAAGTTTACTAAATACCTACCTCATCCACCACTTCATGTTGTGTGTAGGATACACCTGTCTTTTCCTGGGTAAAATGAAAGCAAAAACCTCTTAAATAAAATGCTTAATCCTGAGAAAGAGATTTTATAAAATAAGTTCCATCAATTTTTAAATCCCATACTATTTCATCTGTTGAAGAAGAAAATTCTGAAGAGGGAAGAGGTTGAGATATAGATGAAACAAAATGGATAATGTGTTGTTAATCAATGATATTAAGTAGTGGGTACATGGGGTTTTATTTTACTATTCTGTTTAGTATAAATTTGGAATTTTCCATACTAAAAAGTTA